TTTATATTAAAATATATTATTAACATAATGAAATACAAAACGTAAATAGTTCAAACAAATTAGCAAACCAAATAACAAATACATAAACAAAATTTAAAAACAATAAACATATACTAAAAAACGAATTACAAAAGGCAATTGAACAAAACACTGAGAAAAACGATCGTCAAGTTTATATGTAGCAATATGTATTTATGTAAATTAAACTATAATAACAACAATGAACGAGTTAATGCAAAAAAAAGCTTAGGTGAAAAATTTAATTAGTGTGTACTTAAGAGCAGGACGAAGAAGAAGCAGAAACAGAAGTCGATTTATAAATCAAAAACCAATTTATGATTGCCTAACTAAACACTTAAAAGAAGCATTGGCATCAATTTTAACAATTGCAACTACAACAACAACAATAACAGAAACACACATACAGAGTAAAGCAAACAAATTGAAATACTTAAATTACTAAATTTAAAAAAAGAAAAAAAAAACAATTAAATTAAAAAATCGAAATCGAAGTTAAAATTGAAATTAACGCTGACATTGAAATTAAACTACTGTACTTAAATGCGCGTTGCTGTAATTTAACATTTTATGTTAAACGAAAACCAATATATAACAAAAATCTAAAACAAAAAAATAAGAAAAATTAAAAACGAAATGAAAACTTTTATTATATATCATTCGTACTACTCCTACGGCTATATATATATTTATTTAACAAAAAAACAAAAAAGGAAAGAAAATGTAAGCCAGCCCGGCCCAGCCAGGCATGGGCTGCTCATTCGTCATTTGTAAATTCATTTGCACCACAACAACTATTAATATATTTTGTTTGTTTGTTTTATTTTATTTTGTGTTTTTTTTTTTTATCAATTCACTAATAATTAAATAATTTTAGCACCTAATTTTAACATTTGTAATTTAGTTGCCCCGTTTGCCGCCATTTCGCATTTTGCATTGTAAATTGTAATATGTTTATTTCTAAGCCGCAGCATAATTGTAATTATTTATGTATAAAGCAAACACACACATGTATAACACACATACCACACTCACATACACACACATCTATACTCTCTCTAAAACTACTTACTCTATCTCTATACTCCTATATAAACGCCTATTCGATTGCATTTCATTGTATTAAAAAGAGTAACGCAAAATAATAAATGAATAAAGAGCGTCAACAATCGAAAAAAACCACAAAACATATATATTTATTTGTCTTTTTCTTTTATTACCAATTAATTTCATTTATGGCATCCTTCTTAATTTTCAAACATATGCAGAGAAATCGTATGAATAAAAACTATATCTAAATAAAACGAAACCAATAATATTCAATGAGTTTCTCTGGGAGCTGAATTAGAAAGGGATATATGAAGCTATAAGATATATGAAGCGGATGAAGTTGAGACTGATCAATCCCCTAAATCCGTCGAGAAATACTTCATGTACGACTTGGAGAACCTAGCTTTGAAAATGTAGGAGATATAATTATACTCATTCACGAAAGTGAAATGAGTATATTGGGTTTGTACAATGTCCGTATTCCTATCCGTCCGTCTGTCTGTATGAGTGGAACACACACTCGTGTATATCTTCGATTTATAAAGTGCCTAGTATTTTCAGGATCGGCGCACTAGGGGCGTGGTAAATCAGAAAATGCATTTTGTATATATCTTCGACCATTAGGTGCGTGGCAAATCAGATATAACTGTTTCTCCTGCAGTTTTAAAGCTAGAACTTTGAAATTTTGCACGTGAGCTAATGTTATGATTCTTTAAAGACCGATGATATTAAATATCTACGCCTACTAGGGGCGCGGAAAATCGGACCTGAAGATTAAGATAAGATAAAATTTTTAGAAGGGGGATTTAATCGATAACAATAAAACGGGAATAATTATCTATTTTTGGATACAAAAGATCGACCTGCGCGTGCTTAACACGGACCTACGAGAAAAGCACACAGACAGGGTAAATCAAAAAAGTTCGTACAATATATTAGACTCTCCCCCCCCGCTGCACGATTAAAAAACAAAATAGAGCTATCCCAGCTAAGTAAACATGAGAAATTCTCATTCAGATACTTCTTATATATAAAAGCTAATCCTGAATACCGAATGGCTTATTGCACATGTGTTCTGTCGCATGCAGCAGGCTCCACATTGCAGCCCTATTATAAGAGAGCATTGAAGTAGATATCATCAATAAATATGATCGTCATCATTTCCTCTGCCAACGTTGGGATCCTCGGAAGAGGCATGCCTCTGGGCATGTTAAACAGACATTTCAATGGCTCTATAGCAAGTGCATGCATAGGTGGTCCTCCGCAACCCGGGCTAGTGACAAATGTTGGCTAGGCGACAAACTGAAAGAAGTTATAGCCGGAGGTGACCACCAAGAAGGCCTGCGACCACAAGACAAATGACATGTGCTGACATTTGACATTGTCGCAGGAGTCGGGCATTAACATGTAATTGTGGGCGGGGAGTAGCCAAAGCCATAGTAAAAGGGCTGAGCGAGATATGTGCGTTTCGCTTGCCTTAGCCACACACAGCTATGACCGGCCAGGCCGGCCAACAGGCAACAGGCTCTCTCTTGCCAACTCAGACTGTGGCCCTGGCTGCTGGCTCTGTCTGTTGGCCCTTGCCAGCAGACCGTGCAGTGCTTGGACCACACAAGAGGCTCTGAGGTCCACGAAAGCCAACTCGGTGGCTGCTTTGCATAAATGTCCCAGTGCGGATGGCCTACGGCTGCAGCTCGTATCTCAGGCAGTTCAATTCCCTTTCCCTCTCTCTCTCTCGGCCCCTTTCAGCCACAGCTCAGTTATCAACGTTTGTCCCCGTG